CTATAATGACAATAACATCTGAGTTAGGTCTTTTACCAACCCTGTCTAGATCCGTTCTGTACGGGATGGGCGCTATGGGAATTGTCTGTATTATTTACAATCAGATAGTAAGCAGACGTGTGAACAAAAGAGTTTATCTCTTAATAAATAAAGGAGTTTTAAGCATGAGTGATTGTCAGACAAAATTATCCCTTTACCCCCCCCCCCCCTCTAATAAGAAAACCTGAGAGCAACACCAAGGTCAAGTCACATTTAGATTATTTCGAGAAAATGAGCAAAAACTTCATTCGTGAAATACATGCATAGACTTCTTACTGGACTTAACATTATTGTTGCATTTAAGCTTCGCATCTTTGAACAAGAATCACTGGGCGTAGGAACAGAATAGCGCTTCACCACTGCAACTAGTAGATAGCCCTTGGTCGCCACTTTCGAATGATATGCAGAACTCTATTTTTAGGAAAACAAATGTGACCTAACTTTGATGTTGTTCTCAAGTCGTACCCCCCCCCCCTCTCCCCTGGCCTTTTACCACAAGACCCAAAAAACAGAAACGCAATATAAAAAAAGATAACACAGTAACCAAAGAGAAAAGAGTCCAACTCACTAGCGCGTATAAGGTCACAGTTGTTGTTGATGTTGGCGATGTACCAGGAGGGGGAGATGATGATGTGGTTGCTGCTCGTCTGCTCGCTGTTGTGGCGCGCGATCATCCGCTTCAGTATGGTGATGACGTCACGCTCGTCCACATCTACGATGATGCCTGGGAGGACGGAATGTTGGGGTAGTTAGTGAGAGTTTAGTTTAGGGAAATTTTGCAGAGGAACAGCCATACTACAAACATCTAACAGATGGCACATCACACAAGATTCATCGAACAACGAAACAGGCAGAATGACCACCGAAACAATCACCGACAAAACAAACACCTACTTATTCGTCAACACTTACGCACCACCTCACCCGAACACTAGGACAAGTTTTTACGAAGAGATACAAAGTACACTTAGCACATCCACACACAAACTCATACTAGCAGGAGACTTGAACATTACACTAAACGACAGAGACATAGTAGGAACAGAGATCGGAAAAGGGCGCCACGACAGAACAACACTACAACAAATAATCGACACACACAATCTAAAAGATAGCTATAGAGAAATTCATGCACACACCAACGATAAAACGCACAACACACCAGGGATAGACAGAGAGGCCAGGCTCGACGCAGTTAGGTCATATAAGTGCTGAAGTTTAGAGGTGCTACATCTACACGTACATAATATGTGTCACGACCTGACCTGGTGGAATCAGGCGCTCGACAATTTTTGAGCATGTGGAGTTTTTTAATATCATCTTAAAGCTGTTCAGTTGTCGTGCTATTGGTGAATAAAATTCCCTTCTATATTGAATAGAAGTCGAGATATTTGAGACTGAAGAAGGTGAGGTCGCCTGGTTTCAGAGGTAGAATTAGCGAGAAAATGGCCGCCAAAGTTTTGTTATTTCCATAGCTTGATAATCCGTGGAAACTGAAAACTGACATTTTTGCTTTTAATATAAACATTTTTCAGTAAAACCCACACGAAAATGTGTTCTTAATTGGACAACAATGGAGTTAAGCCAAAAAACAAAAATTCGATAAAAATTGCCAAACTGGCAGAAAAATAGCTGTTTCTTCAATTTCATTACTTTGACGAGCGCCTGATTACACCACGCAGCCTCACATTAAATAAAACCACACGCACAGGCATACAGACACAAATGATTTTTTTAAAATATACTCACATTCACACAAACTTGGACACACAAACAAATAAACATATCCAATATGCCGCCTGGGCCATAATGTTTGAGTGTTTTTTCTTAATTTATTTCCCAAGCCATCAAGCCTCCAGTCGTTCAGATGTCCTGGTTCTATAAGTCCCAATTTGGTGTCTTTGGGGTTTGTTTTTTTTCAAAATATATTTTTGTTTTTCCCCCCGTTAAATCTAGAGAATCGCTTGTATGTGTTCGAGTAGTATTTTATTGAAATTCAATAAATTATGAATACTTAGAAAAAAAAAAAAAGTTTACTGAAAAACAGATGCAATTTTTAAAAGACTGAAAGTTTTAATTATCCCTTGTAAAGTTTTGTTTTCTGGTATAAGTACATTTGAACAGCCTGCAGCAGATATTTATTTGTACTCTTCTAGTGCAGGGCACAATGTCAAGGGCACTGAGGGTCCTAATCTAGGTGTCTGTTACTGCAACACTCGGAGGCGCCAATTGCCCGGGGCGTTTTGTGGGTGTCTTTGTCTGTTACAGCACTGATTTGATTCCCGGGCCATAATTGCCCGGAGGCTGCCGGATTTGCCGGAGATTCTGATGTCTGTAACAGGTTCAGGGGAAGGGGGTAGGGGGTGGGGTGGGGTAAAGTAGAAAAGGGCGTGAGAGGGAGGGAATGGAATTCGGGTTCGGGTGTAAATGAAAGGGGAGAAGGGTGAGAGGGTGTGAACGG